TGACAGCACTGAGCTTATTATTCCCAAGAGTGTGTTGGGCACTGATGACACTTCATCTGGAGTTCATTTTCTCCTTGGCTACTAGTCTCTTGGGCAAAGAAATACCCACACCTCAACCACTGACGTTGGACATGCTGTCCTATTGTGCATGCATGAGATGTACTTAGAGACCTTTGAACCCTGCCAAGTCAAGTCTTTCAACCTCCCTGCTTCTGTGTTGGTCAGTCAGTTACTCTAGGCATTAGCCAAAGCTGGCTGTTCCTATGCTGCTGTGAGACTTTGGGTGTCTGTCCAGGTAGTCTGCTGTTTCTGTTTTGGCTTGCACCTTTTGGAAGTCACTCACTTGCACTTCTTGCCTACCCTAGTATTATTATCTTCCTTCTCAAGTCTTTGAAGAGGTTGAAGATGACTGTCACAATTATTGTCCTCTCTTCCTAGATAGAAATATTAGGTACAAGACTCAAACTTTCCAGTTTAGGACAACTTCACAGTAATCTCTGTTTTGCCTTCACCCTAGGACTAGATATATAGTTCATGCCAATTGTTCTATGTTGCTTCACTGGCAGTAGATCTTAAATTGTATGTTTTTACCTTTCCTTCTCCTAGAGCACACTTAATATTTGCTATCATTGTATATAGTTTTGTATCAAGCCTAAATCTTCTTTAGACTAAAAGGGGAATACATTCACCCCCTGCACCTATAGCACTGACCATGCCCTTTTGGGCTTGATCACAGGTTTGGACATGACTGGTTAAAATGGAATAGCATCAGGGTGACAGAGTCTACATACTTGGAGCTGGAGCGACATGACAGTTACTTGTTTCCTGTTTAAGTTCCTTTTCCCCTAATAAACTCCACTTCTTCCTATACTGAGTCTAATGAATCCTGATTCCCATGCATATAGCCAACATCAGGCATGAGAAGCCCTTTTTTAAATTATTGGTCTGATTATCCAAGAGACTCCCAAAACATTACAGGTTGTCCCACCAGAAGTGGAGGGTAAATTCCATTGTTGAAAACACCACGTAATTGGGCCCAGAGGCCCAAATTGGAAGTGACCTGAATGCCTGAGAACTAACTTTCATGGTACCAGAAGGTGCCATGCAAGTTTCCAAAGAAGAGAAGCAACCAACAGTCCTTCCTACCCAGCTAAAATGGCTATGAACCAAAATAATGACCAGCATGGATAGCACGATAACCCTAAGGGTGTAGGGGCATGCATATCTTGGTAGTAACCAACAACTCTCTAACTGAACATAAGATCCCCTCAATAAGAGCGAAATCATGCCTGCTACCAGAAACTCAGCTAACTAAGCCAGGGCTAGATTAGTCATGAGTCTTGGGAGAGAACCTATACCTGCTATTTTACAAATGAGCAAAATCCCTAACTGCATTCTAAATATTTGTCTTTATATCCACAGATAAGGAAACTTCTCCTTGAGACAGAGATCTTTACAAAAAAATCATAAGTAATCAAAATGCAGAATGTAGAGCTAGGTCCCAACAGTATATATACAACACAACTCCTGGAACTGAAGGCTCAGGGATCACTGCAGAAGAGGGGTTGGGAAGACTCTAAGAGCCAGAGAGGATCTGGGAATTTGCTGTGAGATTGTGTCTCCTAGTAGGGTCAGACGCTACATCATTAAGTCACCAACATGACTGCCTAAACATGAACAAGGATAACAGACATGCTAACATGGGATGGGGAAATTCCATGAGGCTTCAGCTTTACACAGAGAACTAAGGAATGCCCAGACAAGAGAAATGGTCTTTCCTAAGAACACATCAATTGGTTATCCAAAACACAGACACTCTCACCACCACACAACACTCTGCTATGCTTCTGCATGAGTCCGTGCTCCTTGATTTAGGCGATTACACAGTGCCTGGCAACAATAGCTGTTCTGGACATGTTTGCTGAATGACTGATGGAGTATCTTAGGATAGGTTTCTGACCTGCTTCTTCTATTTAAAAAAGTTGCTACAAGAAAAATTTTCACTATCATCTAAAAGATATAACCTACTTAAAACCCTATAAATACACATGAAATTGATTATTAGTGTTAACAAAGGAGGTAAGGCATGGATACTTAGGATTAAATTACATTTAAATAAATGTCACTGGCTTTTGGAATGGAATGCTGACAAATATGATTACTTAGGTTATAATCATAATCAAAGTCTGTACTTTGCCATGTGGCTACATGCAATACTGTCTTAAAAAAAAAAAAAAACCCAAAACAAATGAACAAACAAAAACTAAAAACCTTATGTGGTGGTTTGAAAGAAAAAGGCCCCCAAACAGAGTGGCAGTATTAGGAGGTGTGGCCTTGTTGAAGGAAGTGTGCTGCTGTGGAGGTAAGCATTGAGGTCTCCTATGTTCAAGTTATACCAAGAGACACAGTTCACTTCCTGTTGCTTCTGGATCAAGATATAGTACTACTCTCAGCTTCTCCTCCATCATTATGTCTACTTGCCTGCCACCATATTCCACCATGATGATAATGGGCTGAACTTCTGAATGGTAAGCCACCCAATTAAATGTTTTCCTTTACAAGAGTTGCTGAGGTCACGGTCATGGCATCTCTTCACAGCAATAGAACACTAAGAGACCTTATTTTGAGATAGGGACTACAGTATAAAAAAGGTGAGGTGGTCTAGGTTATTACCTTAAAATAAAAATGAGGCTTTGGTATGATTGATTTGAGAGAAATATCCTGTCCTCCCCCTTTAATGTCATGATAACAGGTCACAGGAACTGGGGAGGACAGTGGTAGACTTGAGCCATACTGGGTGACTCCCAATTACCTGTAATTCAAGTTCTAGGGGACCTTCATCCTCTTTTGGCCTTCACAGGCACCCACACATACAAAATTAGATCTTTGAAAGGAGGAGTATGTTTTTCTTCCAACTCTAAAATAGCTAACTTAACAATGTACTCTTCATGCTGAAATGGTAGGGTAGAAAAGCCATATAATTAAGTTTCAAAGGAACTCTGAACTAGGTTCACATGTGAGCTGCCATATGAGTGCTGGGAACTGAACCCAGGGAAGATCAGCTAGTGCTCTTAACAACTGAGCCATCTCTCTAGCCCCTGGTCCTCATGTATTAATGCATTTACCTGTTACATACATTTGGCCAGCTGAAGGTAGAATATGCAAATGAGGCTCTGACAAGCAGGTAGTTAGTTGTCTGGTTCTACTGACAACAGTACACAGCTTCATTTCGACACTATGAAGACACTAGCTGTTTTGTCAAGTGTGGGAACTGGAGCCCACAGGGGAAGCACTGTAGCTTTAGAAAGTGCATGAGGCAGCGTCAGAACAGACATTACCCTGACCCAAAAGAGTACCAGCACAACAGGGAAGGAAGTTTAGGAAAAGTGGTGACTTTTGTCAGCTGAGACAGCCTACCTGAATTTTGGCTATGACATTTCTGGGCAACAACTGCCCAGAAGCCAGAAGAAACAGGAGTCTACTGCTCACCTTCATTCAGGTTACCCTCAGTGTAGGGAACCAAAGAAGAGCTGGGCAGGTAAGAGACACTCAGCATATCTGGCAAATTGTTGCACAGCACTCACCACACTGGTTGGAGCTCCATGGTGGCAGAATTGGACTTCCATTCATGGGTGTGCCTTGGCAGATTCTGACATTTCAAAGAGCTCAGCATTACTGAAGCAATGAATAGACCTGAAATATTGCTGTAACAGAGAAAAAAGCAATTTACTAATGACATTATTAGAAGCCATTTCGAGGCATGATTCATCAATAAATTTTATTTCAGGGGGCAGAGGCAGTTGGACAGGGCTGTCTTCTACTAAATTTGCACTGTTTGGCTGTTTAACATCTGTTTTTCACTTTTGTACTTTTTGTTGGTGATTTGTTTAAAATGCTCATCAAAGGTAGTGTTAAAATGCCATCTCATGTTCCCTAAGGGCAAAAATATAATGATGTGAATTATGGAGAGAATATGTATTAAATCTTCACTCAGATAAAAAATTAATATTCCATTGGTCATGATTCAATGTTAAGGAGCCAACCACATGTATTGACATATCTTTTAAGCAGAGACAGCTAAAGCAAGTTGTCTAAATGCTATTAAAAGAAGCTTGTAGTGGCTGAGCCCCAGACTTCCTTCAGACATAATGGTTCAGGATTTGCTAATCCTGTGTTCCAAAGACTTCACAAATTCTAAGCATAATGAAAAACAACTATACATGTTTTTCAAAAGTTTAAAAAAATAAAACTCACAAATGATACTCAAAAAAAAAAAAAAAAAAAAAAAAAAAAAAGGCAGAAAGAGGGAGAAACACCAAAATCCACCACTACTGCATATTTCAACATAATATATTAAAATTTATTACTGAGTAGTATTGAGATCATCAATTAACATTCTCTAGAAGGCCTTATAATTTAAAAATTAAAGAATTCAGTAGGAGGGAAAAGGAAAAGCACCCTATATAATAACACATTAATTTTGAGGACATTCACATATGCACTCTTCTTCCATGTGCACTCAGGCCCTCGTTAGTCCAAACCTGCTTAGGCCAATGTACACACTCCACAATAAATCCCACATTATTCAAAACCCTTGTGCTTCTACTTACAGCAGCATATGAAATCATTTTTTAAGAGTCACCATTCCATTGGATATTGTAAACAATTCTCCATGCTTGGACACAAGGACAGTTAGCCAACAAAGACTTCTGCAGACTATGACAGAGGAAGAATTTTGATTTTTTAATATTTGTGTAAAGTATTCAACCTTGAAGTGTACAATAGAAACTAAGCTGAAATTCCTAGCTTGTATTTAACTACAGTTAAGAGTATCCCCCCCTCCAAGGTCATCAAATATTTGTAAAAATTTTACTAGCATCCCATAGAAATCCACACATTATCAACTAGTGGACTTCATAGCTAGCATTCCTCACTTTGACTAGACACAGGACATGTAAAGAACTTGTACATAAATACTGAGTGCCTGGTAACCATAGTAGTAAAAGTTAACAAAGCAGTTTTATTGTTAAAACATTCTGCTTCCATTTTATAGCCCCAATTAGGTACTAATCTACTGTAACTAGTATGTTCATAGCTGTGATTTCCCCTTTCCTCACTGGAAATGAAGCAGTGGGGCTTTGCAAACATGGATGAAAACCCAGGCACTACAATTAATGCACAGTGCTTTGAGAAAACCCTTAAAGACAGCAGCCACAGTTCTGTCACCACACAGGGAAGACTAAAGAAACAAACAAGACATATTTCATCAGATTTCAATACACACAGAATGTACTTTCTCACAATTAAAGGTCAACTTTAGTCAAATACTCAGAGGGGAAACATCTTAAAAAGAGACGAAGACCTTACATAGTCCATCACTTACTAACTATAACAAAGCCCAAAACCCCCTGTGACTGAAGGAAAGCTCACGATCTGTGTGTAGGACTGTATGCAGCTCCAAGGAATGAATGTAAGTAAACAAGTTTTAAAAAAAGATTTGTAACTAAAGTGTGTAAAAAAATAACATGGCAAAACTAGTTTGAAACAATTAGAGTCCAATAGTTTTCTATGTTTTCTTTTATATCCTTTATTTTTAATTGGTATTTTTAGAACAGCAAATTTTCTTTCACAGCAGTGCCTTCTGGTCTGATAACATAGTCCCCATTTCTAAATGTAAAGATTTAAAATAAATCAAAATGAACATTAAGGCATACAAACAGCTACTTCACGTCTGTTCTTACTAAAACGAGGATAATTTTTACTCATTAAAATACATGGAATGTTGGCACACGACTGAAGCTGCTGTAGGAAGATCAAATGTTCCATGGGTTACTCAAGCTCTAAAAACATACCCTTCCATGGTTTTCGTTTTACAAATGTAAGTGTTGAGAAATGTCTAAATAATAAGTAACAATTAAAATAAAGTGTTTTATTTGTAAATTATGTACAGAATACATTTTATGTTATAACAAGGAGATGGGATGAAGGAAGAGCCCTCACAATCAGTGCTCTTCACTTTCTGCTGGAGAGATGACCACCTTTCTCTGGATTGAATGTACAATTAAGTTTGGATTTCCTAAGTTGGAAAAGAAGAATTTGTAACTAAATTAAAAGGGTTGCTGCACTGCTACTAGCTGGTTTGTTTCCACAAAATGCTCTTGATCCCTGCTAACTCAAAATCTTAAAAAGGAATTTTCTGGTATAATTTTATGAAGAAAAACAAAAGCATATCTATCAAGAACAATGAGTTTAAGCATTTCATCATAAAGAAACTGCAAAATGGCTATATATTTATGCATAATTTAGAATGCTGCAGTTTCTTTAGTGATTTCCATTAGTCTAACAGTAAAAAGCCATACAACTATCAAAAATGCCCTTAATCTATATGTCACTGTGGACAATGTTTCTTTGATGACTATCAAAAAGGAGGCCTACTTACTGTAAAATTGTCAGATGGATAAAGTTATTAATGGCTTTAGACTGCGCCAAATAGTACCAATGTTCTACAAAACAAAAGGCTGACTGTAACTGAATGTCAAATACCTTTCAGAAAATGGATGTAAAGAATGCTACAAATGCATGTGTACATTATGATGATCGCCCAACATAGAAAACCCAACCTGCTGCACTTATTCAGTCCCCAAATTAGTCAGATTATAATTTTTCATGTGCAGATTTAGGCATTTCTCCATCTTTGTCATCATCTTCCTCATCACAATCTTCATCTGTCTGCTGCTCCAGTTCCTCTTTTGTGATCATTTCAAAATCATTCCCATTCCCACTACTGTGTTGGGATCGGTCATCTTCCCTCCTGTCACTGTCTGTGTCTGAGTGTCGCTCTCCACCTGAGCCTTCTGTTCCATGATTTCCTGGTGCTTTCCCTTCTTCATCTTCCTTTTTCTCACTGTCTGACTTTTCCTCACTGTCGGACTTCTGTTGCTTTTTGGTTTCCGATCTCTCATCTTTCTTTAAGTCTGCTTTTGGTCCTTTGTATTCATGTGTGTACAGAGGCCTGAAGGAGTCAATGAAGCCCACATCAGCAGTCAGGTTTGGCAAGAACCAAAAGTGGTGCCTTCCTCCAGTTATCAGCCAAATGATGAGGAACAGAATACAGCGAGCTGTGGGGAGAAAAGTTTCTCCTGAATAAATTAAGCACTGAATCAACTACAAGGAAAATTTATGAGTAAGAAACTGAGATAATAGCTTGATTTGTACATTTATGCACCATAAAGATGAATATTTAAAGTCAGATCAGCTTAGCAGATAACATCATTATAATAGCAGAGTATCTGCTCTGAACCTAGGGCACAAATGATGAAATAACAGTCTTTAAAAAAATTCTATTTTTTTCAAATCTGGGGTGCTGATTCATAGACATATACTTAGAATTAATGTATTTTGTGATGTACTTCAGTTAGAAGTTGATGCATTCATGAGAGAAGAAAATGTATGACATTGTTAAGAAACTAACTGATGAAAGGAAAATGTAATTATAGTCTTACTTCCTGGTCTTGATCAAAAAATATTACAACTACATTCAGCATACAGTATGTTATAAAAGCAAATATAATGCTGAACAAGTGTATATACTGTTCTGATTTTAAAATAAAATTGAACAATTTAGTGGGTCCCTGCATATGTTGTGGACTAAAGCATGTGCTAACTCATTTAGAGATAGCTCAGCCTTGGATAAAGAATTTAGGCATTAGAAAATTCCTACTGTCAAATTCTTGTTTTATTAATTAGGTAAATTATATTTATTCAAGTATCAATTGCCTCAATATTAAGAAAAATCTTACATACCTAAAATATGTTAGGTATAGTGGTGGCGCATTTGGAGAAATAACCAAAGAAACCCCAGAAAACAACATAATCCTAACACAGTAAAACTGTTGGCATTTGGGCTTGAATCCAGGCAGCCTGTCAGCTAGCATAAAACTGTATCTTCAACCCCTTTAAATTCTGAGACAGGTTACATTGTCCAGAGCCTGTGGCTTGCTACCTAATCCAAGCTGGCCTCAACCTCCCTGTCTGTACTCCTACCTCAGCCTTCCAAGTAGCTGGAACCACAGGGCTGTCTGTAATCATGCATGGCTGAGATGACTTAGTATATTATTATCAGAAACCTCAGTATTCCAAATGGTTATCTATTATTTAACAAGTATGTAAAGATTAGTGATTACCCCCCCCCCCCCATTTCTTTTTCTTTTTTTTTCCCAAGACAGGGTTTGTATGGCCCTGGCTCTCCTGTAGCTAGCTGTCTCTGTAGACCAAGCTGGCCTCGAACTCAGAGATCTGCCTGCTTCTGCCTTGAGTGTGGGCATTAAAAGTGTGTGCTGCCACATTTGTTTTTTTCTGTTTTAAAAGGTCCCAATGATTATACAAATGTTTTTGGGTAACCAGTTTTGTTTGTTTTTGTTTTTTTTTTTTTTAAAGAAAGCTTACAAAATAGCTGATCTATGCTTTTTTCATTACTGTGCTTTGGATAAATTAAACAACAATGATTTTTATATATGCTATAATTTATAAAGCAGTACTTATAAATAAACTTTCTTATAAAGTAGTATTTTTATTTTCGTGAGAATAAAAATATATCAAATAATACTACAGATCGGTTTTATGACCCAGAGATGGTAAATGTATTTGAAACTGTAATTTACAAGTAAATTCCCCTGATAAAAGAGATAATGAGCAACTTTTAAAGAGGCAGTACATTTTATCCTTCAAATACAAATTATGATGTTTTAGTTGACTCACAAAGTTGTAGGACATGTGAAATATTTTATCAAATCCAAGAAAAAAAATCACTGAACTTTTTATGATATGAAAACTGAGCATAGCAGAATTTTTACATTCCAGTTTTATATGCCAATAGATAAAAGAATGAGCCACAGAAAAACTACGTGTACTACTCTACCATTCTTGTAGTAAAAGTCCCACATTTCAGAAAAATGCCAGTCTTATTTCAAGTGGTGATATTAACCATCCATATTAAAAAATACCAAAAAGATTTTTTTGAACAATTCTAAACCACAAGATTTGTAAGTGGGCCATAGATCAAAACCATTTCAAAGAAAAATTTGGAGGATGGGCTGAGTTGGTGGAGTGCTTGCACAGCAAGCAGGAAATGGCCCTGGGTTTAATTCTTAGCGCCACATAAAAACAGGCATGGCAAAGCATGCCTGTAATGCTAGCCCTTGGGACACAGAAACAGGCTCATAAATTCAAGGTCATCCTCTGCTACATAGCCAGCTATCTTGATGCCAGCTTGGTCTAAAGACACAAGACCATGTCTTAAAATATGTATTTATAATTACATGTTGGGTTTGCTTCTTACTTTAATTGGCAAGGCTATCTTGATCCATACAACATGTTTATATACATAGGAACCTCGAAAAATACTCCCAAAATTCAAGAAACAACATTTTAAAGGGCAAAATAATCTAACATAAATTACAGTGACTATGAATTAAATACTGCAACTAGAGTACTTTTATTCAGTAGAGCTAAGCCTCTGCTGAAAAACTTCAAGGAACTTCTATAAATTTCACTGGTTTAACAGCCAGGTGATATCAATCTTACTGTATCTAAATGTGAGTTCAAAGTCTATGGCTTTTTTCCTTGAATCACACTGACACTAGTTACCTGTTTAATAGAATTGGGTATTATTTCTCGGCCTATTTGCAGAAGCAGTAAGGGATTTTTCTCAGGGTGACTAAGCTAGAGGAAGGAAAAAAAAAAAAAAGAAAGTTAAGTAGAAAAGGGCTTATTTAGTCAGGGATCTCAGATGAAATGGGCAGAATGGGGGTAGGTCACCACCATAGACTGAAAAAAAAGTAGACAAACTCCTGAGTTCATGTGGATGATAGCAGCAAGTCAGGATGCTCTGGTGAACAGGGGAAGGCATGGTTAGAGAAACTGTTTAGGGCTATAGCAATGATGCTTTATAGAAATAAAAATTAAATAGAGAATATATATCTAGTTTAGTTAATATTGGCCAAGTTGTGTCTTTCAATAATAGATTTTTCTACAAAGCAATACTACTCTTAGCTGGGAGTGGTGGCATGTGATGTTTTAATTCTAGCACTTGGAAAGGCAGAAGCAAGTGGATCTCTGTGAATTTGAGGCCAGACTGGTCTACAGAGTAAGTTTAGGCCGGCCAGGACTACTTAGTAAGATCCTGTTTTTAAAAATTAAGGCATAAAAAGCTCAATAACTCTGAATGTTAAAAATATTCACTTCAGTTTTCTATCCATCTAGAATTAATTTCTTAATCCATCTAGAATCAATTTTGATACCCACATGAAAAGTTGTAATTGTCCCTAAAGTGGCAAACAAATTGTTTAGAATCACTTAACTGAATACATTAATTAAACTTAAGTATTTAATACAAGTTACATTTACTTTACCTCAAATATCTAGTAATGATTCACCACTGCAAAAATAAATCTTCATAATAACTAATTTTAAAACATAACTATGTGCAGATTAAAATATAGTAGTATATATTTAAACTAACGGAGAGTAAATTTCAATTTTAAATAGCTAAGCAAGGCAATGGGTATTTTAACTTGATTTAATCATTCCTCAATTCATGCACACATATAAATATATGCATACAATTAAATAACTAAATTGTACTTATTCTGTACAGAATTATGTTCATCAATCAAATGCAATATTAATAAAAAATTAAATTTTGAAAAGTTATAGCAAATCCCAGATCAGAGCCAATGTAGTCAGGTCTTGACTCTGAGATTTGGCCTAGAAAGGAAGGTCCCACACTTCTTGATTTATCTGCATTAATTTTGCTACTCAGCTTCATTGGAGTTCAGGGTTACAATCTAAGTGCTCAACACCTATCTATATAAAGATCACTATTATTACACTTACCAATAGCAAGGAGAAGGATGCTGGCTACAAAACAGCCTGCGCCCACACTGAGGTAATAAACACCGACTCTCATTTCTGCTGGCCAGAGAGGGAAGAGGGTGGCTGCTATTACAGCAATAACTGGAATAAGAAATGATCACGTTAAAAAAAAAAAAAAAAAGATCACGTTACATACAAAAAAGTTAAAACTTTCACAAGCAATATTTTAATGGCTGGATTACAATTAATAGTGAACATACTCTTTTCTTAAGAGGAAACTAATAAATACCTGAAGCAAAAAAAGTACCATTTACATAAAAATGATGAATTATCAGCAATTTCACTTTATATTGTTCTTAAACTAGGTTAGTATGTTTTAAAAGTCCAGATTACATTAGTTATAAAAATTACTGTCTATAAATTAAAACTATTCCTTAAATCACCAACTATTGTCATTTGAAGCTATTTTAAAAAGTTTATTAGGAGTAAGGAAGCTTAAAAAACAAAACAAAAACAGCTGGACTGTGGTGGCGCAACACCTTTGATCCCAGCACTCGGGAGGCAATGGCAGGAGGATCTCTGTGAGTTTGAGGCCAGCCTGGTCTACAAAGAGAGTCCAGGGCAGGTAGGGCTACACAGAGAAACCCTGTTTTGAGAAACCAAAACCCAAACCAAGACAAAACAAAACAAAAACACCACCACCAAAATCAATAAAGCAATACCCCACTCTCAAAATTCTGAAGACTTCCCACCCCTCCCCAGGGGAATCAGAGTCATAGACTCTTAAAAAAATATGGGTCTCAGTTAGAAGGCCTGGGCAGTCTAAGGGACCTCTGTCAGTGGAACCAGGATGTATCCCTGGTGCACAAAAGGACTCTGGGAGCACATTCCCCACGGAGGGATACTCCCTTAACCTAGAGGCAGGAAGAAGGGCCTCCTAGTCCCTACTCCAAATGACTTGACAGATTTTGTTGACCCCTCCTGGAAGGCACCAGAGTGTGTGGGGGGATGGGATGGAAGGGTGGTGGTGGTGGCATGGAAGGGAGGGAGAGGCAACTGGGATCAATATGTAAAATAAGAAAAAAAAAAAAAAAAAAAAAAAAAGGGCAGAATGGTTAGGGAAACAATATATAAAAACTCTAGATTTTTTTTCAATTATAATAGGGCCTTTGGGTTGTTAAGAAATGCACATCCTGGTTCTTAGGTCTTTACCATTAAAACAGGATGCAAAATCTTGCTCTATCAAGTGTAAGTTAGGTAACCCTTCCAAAACTAATTTACTTTGTATTTGGTAAATACCTATTCTTATTGGAATTAGATATCAGAAGGAATTAATGATTAAGTGACTATCACACTGTAAACAATCTACAGCACTATCCTTTTGGGTTTAATTAATTTTCAATTCTTACTGTAAGTGCCTCTAAATGGGATCCTATAAAATCCTATTGACAAATCATATTTTAACTGTTTTTGCTATTTGCTATTCTTTCCCACCCAATTTTGCCCCTAAACTTTATCAAAGCTTCATGAAATTCTATTACACTGCCATTATTTCATTCTTCTACTGAGAAACTTGAGTTACTTTCAGTTTCACATGGTAAGAGACAACACTCCTGCAAATATACTCACACATGTATATTGAATGACTAGGATTACATAACAGAATGAGTTCTAGGCAGGGGATATAGTTCAGTGGTGAAGTGCTTGCCTAGCATGTGTAAGACCCTGGGTTTGATCTCAGGCATTGCAACAACAAACAAAACCCAACAACACTGAAAAAAAAAGCATAACAATAAATTCTTTTCAATGTAATTGGTAGGTCAAAAGATACAAGCATTTAAAATTTGAATATATTTACTAAACTGTTTTCTTTAAATGTAGTATGTGGATTAGACAAGTAAGTGCATACACTGTTCAATTGTGTGCACAAAATGGGTGCATATAGGATAAATTCCTGCAAGACTTACAGGGTCAATGTATTTACACCTACAATTTGAAAGGTATTAGCAAATTGCCTCTGTAAAGATAAAAAGTAATATATCATCATTTGGTGGAGTGTGTGTCACCCCTCTTCTAGGGCTTTCTCTGTTATCTTTTATATCTTTAAACTTTGCTACTTCATTCTGTATTATGATTAAGTCTTCTATATTCACAATGACTGGTCAGTGTGATCCTCTGGGAGCTACATTTATCTTTTTTTTTTTTTAAAAACCAAGTTGTTCTACCATGTTAATCTCTTAAAAATCTTTGTTTTAGTTGTTACAAATAATTTTAGTTTATTACTTATATTCTAACTTTAAAGTATCCCTCTTAAACAGTTCTTACTTTAGTTTCCTTTGGGGTGCTACATTTTGCCCTGTAAACTTTAGAATTATACTGAAAAGCTACTTATATCCTCCTACTTACCAAGAATTAATCCCATGACAAATGTTTTAATGTGAACTGGGTCATAGATCCACACATAAACCTAGAAGAATCAAGAAACCTCAGTGCTTAAAAGGTCTATGGTCACATTCGTAAGTAAAGTCTACTTCCATACTGTGGTTGGTTCCTCAAAGGCAGCCCTAACTTCTAACACACTAACAACCTTTTCCGTTCAGATAAGAATTATACTCAATCACTAAGACTCTTAGTTTTAGCTCTCAGATTCTGTAAATCACAGTATTCTTCCATTTCCTAGTACTATTTTGAAGAAGGCCTTTTGTTTTCTTTTTTTCTGACTAATTTATATTTCTAACATTTGGGATTCCAATTCAATCTCTATTTTACTCTTTACATTTTTCTGGGAATTAGATCCACAAATGTTAGTTTTGCTAATCATCACTAAATAAAACCCTAAAACCTTATATTTTAAAAAGAGAAATTTTCCAATTTTAAAAGTCCAGAGACAGGGTATTTCTTGAGTGAAAGAATGAGAGAGACAGGGAGAGAGAGAGAAGGAGAGAGAGAAAAAGAAAAAGAGAAAGAGATCTAGAGAGGTCGAGAGAATGAGTGTATGAGTGTGTATACAACCTAACCTTTTCAAGATGGCAAGCAAAAAGCTTTTGTTCAGCCTGCCCCCTCCCTAACAGACTTATAATTCTTTACTAATACTATGGGCAATATGCCAGTCAATTCTGAAGGCTTAAGTCAGGTGTCTACTGTCCAGACTCTACTTATCCTTAATTAAATCAAGCATACCTAATTGGTGTTCTCACACCAGTAATGCTTACTAGAATGTAATACAGAAAGATGTAGGTGTCTGTCTATTTACCAGACTATGAATAACTTTCTTGCAGACAATTTTATTGTATTTTACTGTACCATTTCCAGCACCTGTGAAGTGTTTGGCACATAATGATATGCTTAACACTTAACTCAAGATATATGAGCTCTTCTCATTGCAGAATTTCAGAGGGCCCTAGGAGCCACTACTTTTTACATATTTGGTAACTGGTGTATCAAGAAAAAATATGTCTTGAAATTCACAATAGTTCAGCAGCTAGGATATAGTTATTATTTCTATAATAGTTAAGTGACTATCATAACAGTCTTCATGCAAGGCCATCACCACATAAATCTCATTACAAAAGGCACAATGGAACTATCTCCTTGAACAAAGCATTAGCAATGTTGAAAATTTCAGGCCCTTTTAATAGCTGTGTCTGATGAGACACTGTTGAAGAGCCAGAGATCAGTAGGTGATGTTCATGAACCATTCTGCTGCTCCTTTGGTAATAATAGAAATTCTGCATTAACTGAGCAAATTAAACCCTCAATATAAAAAGTGCATTTTCAAGACTTCATTTCAGGTAATCAGTGAATCCAAATGTGTTCATATTTTGCTAAAAAGAAAGGCATCTGCCTTTATTCCTTTTTCTCTGTGGATGTAGTTTTAAGGCTAACAGTCATCATGGACCATGAGGCACCTTAGCAAGAAGATTCTAATGTGGCAAAAGAGAGGAGTAGCTTGGGCTGCCATGGAGCATTTCCCACCTATGCTGCTCACCTTACAATATATTCATGTGAAAGGAATAGCATCCATTTTGTATTAAGCTGTTGTAATTCCAGTTTCTGATTCTGGCTCTGATTCTAACTTCTTATAAAACTAGATTAGTTATTTTCATGTACTTAAATGTATTACTAGATTTTTCTAAATTATTTCTTTTCATAGTAATGGCATCAAATATATTTTTAGGATTTTTTTTTTTCTATGAAAAACTGGAGTTCTATCATTCTCAAATCCAATATTCTAATCTTACCTCATTTCCATCCAGAAAAACTTGATCATCATGTGGCTCAAGTTTAAATTTTTTCTTAGTTTCCTTCTTTTTTGGAGTTCCTGGTGTTTCCTCCTATGAACAGACAAGTGAATAGAATGAAACACGCCAGGCAGCAAAAGCTGTGACATTGATGAGGTAAAAAGTCCAATTTCAATACTAATAAAAATCCTTAAGATCAGTGTTTACAAATAGTCCTGACAGTTATCTCACATGGTTGTAAAAGCTTTACGAATAAATTTACTTTTTCATTCATGTATGCACATTTTCCCTGCATTTATGAGAGCACCGTGTGCACACAGAGCTTTGAAGGCAGCCAGAAGACACCTGGAATAAGAGTCAACAGAGGTTATGAGCCTCCTCCTGGGAAACCAATCCTGGGTCCTCTGCTGATCAGACTTGGTGCCACCTCTCCAGCCACACGATGAGTTTTAAAGCTTTAACTTTAAGGACACTTACCTTTTTGGACTCTTCCTTTTCACCATCTTTCTTTTTCTCTTTTTCCTTTTTTGTCTTTTCATCTTTTGTATTTTCTTTCTTGCTCCTTTTATCTTCTTCTTTCCCACTTTCAGATTTTCCTTTATCTTTTTCTTTTTTTATGTCTTTATCATACTTCATTTTCATTACTTTTAGGGCCCGGTGAAAAAACTGTTTCTTTAAAAGCCTTGAGGAAAAGTGACAGTTCTAGTATTACAATTCCCATCAATTACAAAGATACAAACTTGGTTTAAAAAAAAAAAAGCAAAAATATCAAGACCCAAATAAAGTAAGCAAAGGAAGAAATGAACTGGCAACTCATAAAAGAAATTACAATCAGTAAGCCTATGGAAAAATATAGTGAAATATAATAAGCATAAAAAAGTGTACGGAATTTCACAAAGGAAAAAAGCCCATTAGCCAATCAGACTACGAAAAGCTGTCATCCCTTGTACCACAAATGTCCTGAACTCTGAGGCCACACGTCTTTATTAGCTGCTGTAATTGGGGGGCTTAGTTTGGTCTTACATAAGTTCCTTAGCTGTTGTTTGGAGTCAGTGGTCTCTCACTATCTCGTGTGTTCTGTTTCTGTGGGTTTCCCCATCATGGGCTTGACCCCTTTGCTCATATTATCACTCCTCCCTCTCTTTGCCTGGACTCCAGGAGCTCAGCCCAGTGATTAGTTGTGGATCACTGCATCTGCTTCCATCAGTTACTGGATGGAGGTTTGACAATTACGGTAATCCTCAAACTGATTACAAGGGAAGGCCAGTTTAGGCACCTCTCCACTATTGCTTAGTTTTACCAGGGCTCATCCTTGTGTATTCCTGGGAATTTCTCTAGTGCCAGGTTTCTTAATAATCCCATAATGGCTTTCTCTATTCACATATTTCTTTCCTTGCTCTCTCTCTCTCTCTCTCTCTCTCTCCCTCAACTTGACCATCCTGTGGTATGAGTATGTATTCTTTTTGTATATGCCGAAAAGTGGCATTGCTGGGTCTTATGGTAGATTGATTCCCAGTTTTCTAAGAAACCACTATAATGATTTCCAAAATGGCTATACAAGTATGCATTCTCACCAGTAATGGGGAAGTGTTCCCCTTACTCTACAACCTCTTCAACATAAGCTGTCATCAGTGTTTTTGATCTTAGCCATTCTGACAGGTGTAAGATGGAGAGAAACTCAAAGCAATTCCACTAAAATCAGGAACAAGACAAGGCTTTCCCTTTCTCCTTATCGAGTCAATATTGTACCCGAAGTTTTAGATAGAGCAATAAGACAACAAAAGGAGATACAAATTAAGGGGATACAAATTGGAAAGGAAGAAGTCAAATTCTCCCTATTTGCAGATGATACAATAGTGTTCATAAATGACCCCAAAAACTCTATCAGGGAACTCGTACAGCTGATAAACACCTTCATCAAAGTGGCAGGATACAAGATCAACTAAAAAAAAAATCTGTATCCCTCCTATATACAGATGATAAGTGGGATGAGAAAAAAATCAGACGAACATCACCTGTCACAATAGCCACAAACCTGTATGACAAAAACTTTAAATCTTTGAAGAACGAAACTGAAAAGGATATCAGAAAATGGAAAGATCTCCCATGCTCTTACATAGATAGGATTAACAAAGTAAAAATTGCAATCTTACCAAAAGCAATTTACAGATTCAATGCAATCCCCATCAAAATCCCAACCCAATTCTTCATAGACCTCAAAAGAACAATACACACCTTCATACGGAAAAAAAAATGGAGACCAAAACACCAAATAATCCAATTTAAAAATGGGGTACAGCTCTAAACAGAGAATTCACAAGGGAAGAAACTCAAATGGCTGAAAGACATTTAACAAACTGCTCAACATCCCTAGCCATCAGGGAAATGCAAATCAAAACTTTGTTTTAACAGTTTTTAAAGAGGGTTCTCTGATGAACAATGTTCTCCCCCCCCCCACCAAGACAGAATCTCAAGCAGTCCAAGTTGTCCTCCAATTCACTATGTAGGCAAGAATAACCTTGAATTCTTAATCTCCCTGTCTTCACCTCTCCAGTAGGAGATTATAAGTATGTGCCTCTACATCTGGTAGATGGTGGGCTCTTAATGTGCTATTAAGCACAGCCATTATTAAATGCTATATGTACCTCTCAAGCAAACATATAATCTAAAATCTCAAATACTCAGATGTTAAACTTTGGTACCATAAAGCAAAATTTAGCTAATATAGATAATTAAGTATGCTCTCTAAGTATTAAACATAACGAGGAAGGTTTTTGGTTTGAGTTTTTTTAGGTATAAATTCTTTACCAAAAAGTAACTAAATGATAATGTGTATGTTACCAAGGTGTACATACTTTACCTTAAATCTTCAAGAAGAGACTATTAGGACAGTGCAGCTGTTTTGATTTTAAAAGAAATACTATATTATCAATCATTGAAAACAGCAAGTAAGTTTGGCTTAGTCCAGGGCAAAGCCACTAAAAACCTAAGGATAACAGAGTTAACAGCTGTCCCTGGAAAAGATCTGAGAAAACCTCTCTGATACTTTCCTACACAAAACTTGTTCAATGTAGAAACATTTAAATTTTTTCTTGATTCTTTCATTTAGTAGCCCTGACAAATACACAAAGGTAAAAGATAAAAGAACACAACTACAAATCACAATAAAAAACATAGTAAGTCTAAGAACAAATAGATTTCCACTGATAAAATCCAGGTTACATATAAAGCTCATTGTGGTTAGTAACAAACAAACAAGCAAAAGAGTTAAAAGGCTCCAGCACTATGGAAACAGTGGACATTAATGACTGTCATCTTTCACCAAGAAACATTACCTGTTGCAGTAGTCAACCACAGACTCCCTGGTTGTAAATAAAGCTTCCTCTCCTTTCTTGGCCTTTGCCCACTTTGAATCCAAGAGGCAATCCACTGCTTTTGAAGCTACAAAGAAATTTGTTACTTAAAATTCAGTATAGTAAATATGTCTAAAGAAATCATGTTATAAATGTCAACATTCTGACATCAGAAAATAAAACAGAATAGAATGTTAAATCTACCACTAGTGTTCTTTAAGGACAACCCATGAAATATATTGATAACATTACTCAAAGCAAGATAAGTTAATGGGGAAATGTTAGTAACAAAGTCCTCTTAAAAATATTTGTATGTACTATCAATCACAATAAAATATAATCCCAAACACTTCCTTCTTCCCTCAGTGGTAATGAAAATTCTCAAGTTATGGTAACTCATCAAAGAATGACTCTCAACAAACTACAAATAAATACATTAGATTTTTGTTTATTTTCTACTAATTTAATAAGTATCAAAAATCATTACTAACAAAAAGAAGACATTTCTTCTGTGTACAGAAATTTAAGTTTAATTGATGAGACAGAAAAATTCAACCACTATTTATAAGCTATTGGGCTATATTATAGATGATATCAACTTATCATGAGGTTAAATGGATAAAAAATAACAATGTGCCTAGTTAGTTCCATGTAATCACACTATCTGAACAAAAGATAATATCTCATAACACTGAAAATAAATCTTATTTTTAAAATTTCCAACAAAACCAATTATAAAGCACTTTATCTTTTTACTTTTTAATCATAAAGGTAAGACTAGAATAATCAACTGCCATATGCCCATCACCCAGCTGAAATAATCACACATGGAAGTTCTTTTCATAACTTCTACATATCCTAATTTAGATAACTTCATAGGATTTGTACAGTATTAAGACTTCAAAGATATAATCCTACCAATAAAATAATCAACCCGATGGCCCATCATATTGGTGGACTTAGTTGGACAGTTGAATCGAAGATACTTGGCTACAGCCTTCTCTTCTTTTGATGGTTCGCCAACTTCCTGTAACATAGGAATATTAATTTAGTGTGCTTATGTATGTGAGAAATTCAAGCTCTATAATTTGGACATCTGTCCTGTAAATCCTTTTCAAATACTATAGAAGGCCTGCTTTCAGACCTTCCTTCGAGGCAGATCTGGTAACATACAAAAGAAAAAATGGACACTCTTAATGTCTTCTAAATACAAACCGACAGAGGCAAAGGCTGTTCTACATGTTGGCTTCAACTACAGATCATCAACCTGTTTTTCCAGTATATTAACTCTTTTTTTTTAATTTTTTTTATTTAATTTTATATAACAAAGTCCAATTAAATGAAAACAAACATTTATACACAATATTTGGGAATTTAGGCGTCGTTCTTTCCAAACTACTTCCTGCTGATAAGGGGCGCTGTCTTGGGGGATTCGAAGAAGATTCAGATATCCTAGCTGTAGTCGTATATTAACTCTTTTGCATAGTTTTCCTTCAATTTATATGGCTTTTTTTTTTTTTTTTTTTTGTCAAGACAGGGTTCTTCTGTGTAGCGCTGGCTGTCCTGGAACTCACAGAGATCAACCAGCCTCAGCCTCCCAAGTGCTGGGATTAAAGGCATGCATCACTAATGCCCAGCCTTGTATAGCTTTTTAAAATATTCACAAATCAGTAATTTAAAAGATAAGATGCTGCCAATAATAACTGCCTAAATGGCAAAGTAGTAGAAACAGATGCCTTAAATAAATGTTATAACCCCAGTCCTGATCAATGGATGACAGCTTATAAAAATTTGCCAGTTAACCTAAGGTAGCTGCCTCAACGTAGTGACCAGAAGAACTGAGGTGCTGATGACTGGGACACAGATGCTGTCTGGGACTTTCTGTTATAGGGCTATCCCTATTAACAGCAACACAGAAATGAAGAGCAGATTTGGAAAAATTGCTGTATACTTTCCTAATCGGTTCCCAAATTTTCTAAGACAAACTCAGTTTTACCACCAGCTATAATTATTTTTGGCAATAAAAAGTTCAACCAATTCTATTTTCCCAAAGGAATGATTAATACAAATATTATCAGTGTACAGAAAAGGTGTCTTAGAGAGAACTTGATTTTCAAAGACAAGTTCTGAGTAAACTGAATGAACAGCATAAATAATGAAGCTGAAAATAAGCAAAGACTTGACTCTTACAGAGATCAGTTATAATCTACAAAGAAGTTAAGTTTGTACAGAGAGTAAAGAGTCCTTAAGGCAAGCTAAGAAATTTAACTTTATTCCTTAAGGAGTAGAAAGATCACTATGTTTTTTAATAGCTCAGAAATAGGAAAGTAACAAGTAATATTTTTATGATTGCAGGCAAGAGGAATAGGGAAAAAACATGCAAAGCAGGAAAAGTAGTTAGGAGACTACTGTAACAGTCAAATAAATGTGATATGATCCTGCTCTAAGAATTGGAAGGAAATGTACATATTTGAAATACTTCAAATGTAGAGTACATAGGATGAATGGTAAAAGATAAAGGAAATGAGTAGATACAAAATGTCAGATTTCTATGTTAACCAATAAAAATGAGTAGATACGAAATGTTAACCAATAAAAAGGAAACACAAAGTTGGGTGGGTAGGGAGGTAGAAAGGATTGGGAGGACTCAAAATATAATTTTGGAGGACTCAAAATATAGTTTTTTAAAGTTTCAATAACAGGAAATGTGTAAGAAAGGTAGTTCTACAGAACAATCATTGCTTTAGGCATGGTATATGAATCTTCAATTAAACCAGATAAATGTGCTAATTTCCTGACTGCTGAACAACGCATCACTTGTAAAATCTGGTTAAATGTGAAGATACAAAAACTCAGAAAAGTTGACAATATTATAGGAAGTCAGACACTGTTAAGTATCTGCTAAAATTCTTTAAATTTCACTTTAATGATGAAGTTAATTAACTTTTCCCCAAACTCCTTATTTTCCTTGGTAAAGGCACTACTAAAAAATGGATAGAAAGAATCAGAAAAAGTGACAACTGAATAACCTTTTCAAGTGGACACAAAATTCAGTTGTCTACTGTGTTATTCTAAAGTATCAGTGACTGATTCTGGTTACTACAGACAGCTCTTGATGAAAATGTATCATTTGGCTCATCTGCTGGAGTTTTAGTACCAGAAAGACTGCAGAGAGAGAGAGAGAGAGAGAGAAACATCAGCAAGGACAGTGTAAGTTGGATACACAGGAGATCCTCTGTGTGATTGCCCTACCATAGCCTAAACATGACATAAAATACACTTACCTTGTTTATGATATCTCCCCTATTTGTTCCCTTTTACTGTGAAGAGAATATGTTCCTGTTTTTGTGCTAGACTGTTACTAAGTAAAAGCCTTTTGAGAGTATTAATAAATGCTTATAAAACACAAAAACAGCTCATTATCTCTCAAAAAAGGAAAAGAACTTTTTAGCTCCATTAACTCTCACAGTTGTCTTTGAACGAGGAGCAAAGAAGGAACAAGTTTAGGCTAGATTGCCTTTTCTTTGCATCTTTGCTGTTAATCATTCCTCACAACTACTTAAACAGGAAGGCTGGTAGAATCATAAAAGATTTTAATTAATATATTTTAGAAAACATCAATATTCAAATACTACAATGAAATAGAAAATGCCATTTGTAACCAGGAAGGGGGGGGGGGAGGATCCAGAGCAAGCCATCGGCTTTACGCTTACAGAATTTCAAATAATTTGCAGCCAAAAAGAAATAAACTGGTTTGTCAATAGCAGGGTGAATAAAAGAATAAGTCTAGTTTGTAAATTGTGAATTTGAACATAGGTACAAAAAAGTAGTACATTTATGAAAATGCCAACAGGATAGTAAAGATATTTGAAAACTAGAGGAGATCTTGAATAAATTATTTGCTTAAAGTCATACAGTTCTGTAAGCTAACAATGGCAGTACTCTCTCCAATTTGCTTCTATCATGTTTCCTGTGGCAACAGGTTTGCTATGTACTGCAAAATTCTCAATTAAACCTGGGTATGTTGGGGGTGGGAGGAGGATGAATTTTCAGACTGAGGTCTAGTTGCACAGTCCCAAACATTTTTTCTTGTCTTTCATGAATGAGATATACAAAGCCATGGTATGTCATGATTTTACTGCCACGGAGACAGATGGGCACAACAAGTCTAAGATACAGAAGTCATCTGAAGATTTCAAAACTGAACTCATTTCTATATACAGGCAGAATTACTATATGTGATGTTTCTCTGAGCAGGAATAAGTCACACTATCTTTGTTACAAAATCTTATATTCAGAATTTAGGGAGCTGGAGAGATAGCTTGGTGGTTAAGAACACACACCAGCATTCTTCCCTATATTGGGTGGCTCATTACTGCCTATAACTCCAGTTCCAGAAGATCTGATGCCCTTTTCTGTCCTCAGATGCACTAAGGTGCACTTATCTCCACAAAGATACACAGACATACACAAAATTAAATATATATGGGCAAAATGATTTGGGATTAAAGTATTTAAAAACTTATTTTTTCAGTCAATGATAAAGTGGAAAGAATATTCCACTGAGAATTAGATGATTATTAACTTAAAAGACAATCCTAGTTTAAGTCACATAATCTCATTGGACAGAAGTTTGTCCAGTTTGTCAGTAAAAAGAGAGTGAGATCAGTAAGCTCCAAGCCTACTATGTATGTAGAAGTCAGGGCAGTTCTACAAGTCAGTTTTCTCTTGCCACCTTGGAGGATCAAACTCAAGCCATCAGGTAACTGCCTCTGTCCCTGAGGCCATCTCACCTCCCAAGGCTGCACTTAGGACAGAGGCTTCCAAATAAGTTCTATCAGATTCTTTTCAGTTTTTAAACTTCATGATACCAGAATTCCAAGCACTGCTTTTAGTGCCTTGTCAATCTATAAAGCCACTGTATTTCCTAAAAAATACATAATTTCTTTTCTTTTTTCAAGACAGGGTTTCTCTGTGTAACACAATTGCTTTTCTTAAACAAGATTTCCTGTTTTTAAATATTTCATTAGTTGGACTGACATCACTCTAGTTAGTTATTAAAAATTTTCAGCACAATGTCAATTAACATACATGCTCACTTCCAAGTTTCAGTGACCTGATCTGAGTCCAAGAAAGAAATGTGATAACAGTCCCCTTGCTTCCAACTCTGTTAGGGCAACAGATTTTAAAATGATTCTGTTCTCGAAAAAACAAATGAATTTTCTATAAAAACAAAGCATAACTCTTAACTTAAGGGGTTAAGCATCCCCTGCTTCCCAAAAAAGCCATTGTAATTCAAGGTCAATAGCATCTACTTAAAATTTGTTTCTAAACAAAGACATCAAGTAACAACAGGAAGCCTTTAGTATATAAATGCTTTTGCTTTAAAGTCTTTGAACAGACTTTTTTCTGTAACAACCTCTGAATTTTGTTTTATTCCATCTTTTTTATCTCAAGTAATGCCAATATTAGTTTTAGTTCTTGACAGGAATGAAAGTGAAGAATTCCCTCCTAGGACAGTTGGAAGAGATTGAAGAAATGTTTCAGTGGTTAGGCATGGGCTGCTTTCCCAGAAGACCTCAGTTTGGATGCTATCACACACTGTCAGGAAGCCTGTAACTATAGCTCTATGGAAGCTGACACCCCATTCTGGCCTTCACTGGCACCTGGATCCATGCACACATAACCTCACAGAAACACGTGTACACTCAACCAAAAAATAAGCATTAAAAAATGTGTTGGGCTGCATAAAAGTCTTCCACAAACATTCTATATTGTCATATAGAAATTAAGTTGGAGGTTGGGAAAAAATTTTAATTTCATAATACCAAGCTGAGCTGACGTTTAATAACTAGAGTCTCAAAAAAAGGAAAATAAATTGTCATAATTCATATAACTTACAGGCTCATGGTTAATTTACTATATAGATAGCTGAAAATTATTTTTAAGCTTATCAAGGAGTGCTTAACAAAAACCAATATAACCTAACCTAATTTTTTTATTCTGGTGAAGAAGGGCAAGAAAGAGGTTATGCGCTAAGCATTTTCATAACTTTTAATATCATTAATTTACTTAATGTTTTCATGACAACTCTACAGCCTTGAAGAGTTTTCTTTAAGATAAACAATAAGATAAAGACTCCTTAGGAATACAGAAGTTGAGGTAAAAAAACAAAACAAAGCTTAAGAGTCCCTGCTAACTGGTGGAGCTGGAGTACAAACAGGTACAAGATGATTAAGTTGCAGCTTTTGACTACCTTAGAGTACCATGAAGCCTCTTTACTTGCTTTTCTGTTTAATCTAAGTTCATAACTGAAATATGAGCACCAGCGATTTAAAAAATTTTATCACCTTTATGACAACATTGAATAGCAGATAAAGCTGTAAAATAATGTGTATTAAAGAGAAAAAAGAACAAATTTGTACTGCCAGGGGTAAATATAACAGGAGATGCAAATTTGAAATTCAATATAAATTATAATAAAATAACTATGTTAAACCATATTACTAAATTTCAAAAGCATAGGAATAGCATAATTATCAACTACTATTGTTGGGACACTTTGGTGTAAAGACCTATGTCAACTTGGAATATGCCTCCAATTCCCTCTGTAGTCTGTTCAAAACTATTGTTTTAATGCCTGCCAAATTCCAAACTTACTGAACACCGGCATCTTTCTTTCCCACAGTATTTTTTAAAAGTTTTCAACTTTAACTCACATAGTTCAAAAGACCCGCTGGCCAATACATCAATAAAGCTTTACAAATAGATATAAAATAAAGATAGGAAAAGTCATCCTAATCGAGGAACAGAAAGACAAGAATGTGCTGTGACAGATATATTAACAACTTAGTACATGTTCCTCGTTTAACATCACTTTGGGTTTCTGGGGTGAGCTCACATGGGTGTTTAACACGCATCGATGTTAAACGAGGACCAGACAACTAACTGGGAGAGAACAGCGGGGAGGACCCGCACAGGTGACACAATATGGATGATGATGGGGGGGGGGAATGTTGTGTAGGGAGTGAGGCTGACAAGCTGGCATGTCAAACACTCTGGGTGCCACCAGCTCGTTGCAGCACCGACGGGGCAGGGTTTGTTTACATCGCGTCGCCTGGAAGAGAGCCGGCAAGCGTCAAGCAGACTATTCGGTTAAAGAACTGAGGAGAGGGGAAAGGAGGGCAGGCGCCACTCAACATCTGGAGGGGCCCGCAGGCCGTCCGTCCGGGGCAGCTGGCCGCCGTCCGGGAGCACGAAGCCCGGCTGCGGTGCCTCGGGTCACCCTCCGCCTCCTCCTACCCCAGTTACCGTGGCCTCAATTTCGGGAGGCCCCGGAGCCCCGCGTCCGCGCCCCGGGGGAGGCCGGCCACCGCTCGCAGGCCCGGGCCAGCCGCCGCCGCAGGAACGCGGGGCTCCGAGCGCCGCGCCTCCTCCGCCCTTCCTTCCTTCCTTCTCCCCCTGCCGCTCCGCAGACCCCGCGGCCGCCGAGCGGCCGCCAGCGCCGCCCCGCCTCAGGCCCGCCACGGCGCCGCGTCCCCTCGGGGACACCCTGCCGTCGCCCGTCCGGTCTGGACGTCCTCCCCGCTCCCTCCGCCTCCCGGCGCGCCCAAGACCCCGGCCCCACGGCCCCGCAGAGCTACCTGGACCCGCTTCTTGTGTCGCCTGCGTTCCGCCATGTTGGCCGCTCCGCCCGGTTCCTTCTGACGTGGACGAAGAGGGGGAGGAGGCGGAGTAAAATCTCGCGAGAGCGCGGCGGCTCGCGGCCCGTTATGTAACCCGCCGCCGCCGCCGCTGCCTCGCGCCTCGGGCTGGGGGAGGCCCCGAGGCGTCCGCGGGCTCCGTGCTGGCCCGCGGCGGCGATGGCGGCGGGCGGTGGAGGCTGGCAGCTGGAGGCAGTCGCGCGGAGGGTCAGGGCTGCTGGCTGGGAAGAGGCCTCGGCTCTCACCCGACTGGGCGTCGGAGTCAGCCGGCTGGCTACTAAGTGCAGATGCCCGGCCCCACCCGTCGGAGTCACCGTGGAGGGCGAGGCGGGTCCTGAGCACTTGGATCCCAGGCCCGCGGCGTCACCTGGCGCGTCCTGCCCCAGCCAGCCCGCAGCGCCTCACTTATTTGAGTTTGGGGAAGTTCTACTTCAAATGAAAGACAACTGCAGTCACTGATAGTAACGTGTAATGAGTGTGTAGGTGGACACCTCGGTCAACAGCCCTTTCTCGGGGTGACTGGTGCTCCTCTCCGAAAGCGTGCAGTGTATCCCTGTCCAGGTGCCTCCTCAGAAGTCATCTGCAGCAGCCAGAAGTCAGGAAGCACCCAGGGAAGTGACCGTGGAAGAGCAGGCTGAGCTGGGATGAAGGAGACTGCAGGCAGCTTCGAGTCTGGCATTCACTATGCAACTGTTGTTGTTTTAGACCTTCTAGAACAGAAGGTAGTCAGATAGGTAGTGTGCACTTACATACAAGTTCCCATGACACTGTGGGAATTTCAAACCATTATAGCTGCAGACAATTGGGGAAATACAGATAAGATAAAGACAAAGTTTAATTCTGCCATTCGGGTCTGTTAATTAACTTTCTTTTGCCGTTTATTCCCACTTTATGTGTACATAGGGTGTGTGTGTATGTTGAGTTTATCCATTTTGCCTGTCCACAAACATGAAGTATGGTTGTCTGCTTTTTTTTCTCTTTTGCATGGTAAACAGATAATTTCAAAATCCTTAAGTCTTCTATTTCTTGTGTCTAATATAATGATTAATACGTAAGTAGGGTGAATTGGGGGCACCTTGATGCATGATCTTTTTGTAAAGTAACATAGCTGAAGATCGTTTTTAAAGCATTTGATTCTGCTGTCAAGCAAGCCATTTCTTTTCCTTCTGTAATTTGAGTGTGTGCTTGGAACATAAAATATCGTTTTGTTTTGTTTTTCTAGTCCTTCCTACCCAAATGATGATTCTATTCTGTGCTGTTTGATTTGGAAGACACTGGACTGTTTCTATAGGACGGGTGACCTGTAAATGAAAACACACTATTTCACTTAGTAGAGATTGAGTGCTTACTAAATGCAAAGGTTTAGGTTAGTACTATATATGACAAGGAATGGAAATTCCTTTGTCAACCTGTGTTTGTCAGGGCTCTCTAGAGGAACAGACCAATTGAATATCTATTAAAAGTGCATTTATTCCATCAGGTTACATAATACTGTTTGGGTTGTCCAACAATGGCTGTCTCACACTGGTGAGGATAAGAGCCCTGGTGGTTGCTCAGTCCATGAGGCTGTGTGTAGCTAAGCATCCCAGTCTGATGCTGAAAGTCCTAGAGATGTGTTGGTGTTTGTACATGTTAGAACCTGGGAGAATCTGCACCCTGATAACAGTGAAGGATTGCAGCAGGAGCAGCAGGGCAGGTGGGCTTCCCAATGGTATCAAAGGGAAGCAAAAGTGGCCTTCTTTTGTAAGGGCTGCCACAAAAGGTACCACCAACATTTAGGGTGGGGCTCCCCATTTCAAATAACCTGGTGAAGAAGGCCCTTATAGATGTGTCCAGTGGCTTGCCTTTTAGTTGACTCCAGATTCAGCCAAATAGAAAACCAAGATTAACCATTATGAGCTCCCTCTCTAACTATGGCTTTTATTACCTCCAAGAGAGATTATTTTACTGTCCACATGTTTGTTCTCCTTGCCATGTACTCTAGACCACAATTTGTTTTCTTCTTTCTCCCATCCATAATACTTCACTCCCAAAATCTAGTACCTTCTTTCAGCCATCATCATATTTGGTATTTGACAATATTGATTGTCCACATATTCTCCATCTTGGCCCTTACGATATGATGTGTCTTTAACCCATCCTTCTCTCTTTTGTTCTAACCAAGTCTTTGTTCAAAGACTTTTGCAGGCAACAGTATACTGTATTTCAGCTGTGGTGGCAATCGATTTTTTAAAGCATTTAAAGGTTCAATTTAGATGAGACAAGATTATATTAATAGGGAAAAAGTTAGATGATAGAAGTTCAAATACTCAGTAGGGGTCTGAAGGAAGGGCTCCTCTCCTATTCCTATCCCCCATATGAAACACCCTATGTTGTTTGGTTTTAAAATTTCTCACCGTTAGGCAGATAGATACCTTCTAAAATGTGGAGGGGTAGGAAATGACATAGATGCCCTTGTCCTGGAACTTTTGCCATGCCTGCTTCTGAGTCCTGCAAGGCAGACACATTGAGCATTGTTTGTCAAGATGGTGTTGCAGTTTCAGGCTGGTCATCCTTAATTCAAACATTCAAAATCTCAAATATTTTGAATATTGGCATGATGCTACAAGTAGAAAAGAACATATCTGACTTTCAGTAATGAGTTGCAGGGGAAATGTAGGCACACTGGAATAGTGTATAACATTATTTTCTAGTTATATGTACCAGATGTATTTGAAACCAATACAACTCATGTATATACAAAGATTCAGTTTTCCCATAAAAATCCAAAATTTGAGACAATTGTGTTCACAAAGATTTTGAATAAAGAGTATTATGTAGAAATTTCCTTATATTTTGCTTCTCTTTGCATGTTCTGGAGACTCAGACACACTTTCATTTTTAATGCTAACATCTGCATGAATATGTATTACCAACCTTCTTTTGGATGTCTGCACTGGATATTGAACTAGAAATCTCCATTCCCCAGCAACACTTTTACCCTTTTACACTTTTGGTCGCTACATTATGCACTCAGTCATGCTAGAAACCTTAAGAGTATCCCAACCATGTCTCAGTGTTAGTCATTCTCCAATCTACTGATTCTACAGCTGAGATGTTTGTAATGCTTCTCTTCATTATCATTGTCTTCACCAGGTCATGGCTACTCACTGAACAATTACTGTGACAGCCTCCTAATTGTCCTTAACTACCCTCTGCACACATGCCACCTTTTATATTCTGGTTAACCACCCTTCCTCCATGGCTCCCTATTGTGTACAGAAATGTGTACAATGGTGAATGTTTGTACATATAACCTAAGAGTTAAAGTTCTGCATTCCCTTTTATTTATTACTCATATTCAGTGGCTCAGTATGTGTTTATGCCATTGATGATAGTAGTGAGGAATTCCTCTGAGCCATTTCTTGTTCTGACATTACAGTCTCGTTCTGTTTGCCTGCCATTTCTCTCCCAAATGAGTAGCATTGGCTTTCTTATATTTTTTCCTAAAATAAAAGTATAAGAAACTTTGCTGCTGAGAATGGGGTGCTGATTTTGAGAAGTCTAGTGAACACCTAAAGTGGATATGTGGACGCTTAGCTGGCTAGATGAGAAAAAGAATATATCAAGCCCAAGATACCATATTGGTATAAGGACTGTTTTGACCTGAAAGAATTAGGAAAAAGCAGACACTGGAAGAGTTAATTCTCTGCCTTTCCGTTATCCACCTCTAAGATCAGGACATACTTCCCTTGCCCTGTATCAGGATGAGGGAAACATCCCTTATCTAACTGGTGTTGGAGGTAGCCTTGGGAGGAGTCTACATATATGAGTCTACATATATGAAATGAGACCTGACATTCTTAGTAAGGACTGTCTAAGCCCATATGTATCTATTACCCTATAGTTTCCTTGCCCTTTACCTAGCCATTCTCCCCAATTTTATCTCTCTGTTAAAATGATAAAATCTCCGAGTTACCAGTTGTTTTCTTACCTTTTGGGTGAGTGTATGTTGGGAACTGAATGGTTGCTTTCCCACCTTTTGGGTAAGGGTATGCTGGGAATGAATGGCGAGCCTCTCATCTCAGTTCTTTCCTGTTAACCTTTTGTGACTGATCAACACTTTCTTCTGCTAATCTTTTTTCTTGTCAAAGGCCCTCATTATAGAACCTGAGAGGGTCGGGGAAAACCACAAGAGCATGCATGGTATTGAAATCTGAGAACACAAGCTATCTTTCTCTTTCCTTGCATGCCCTCGCAGCCTTCTGCTTTTCCTCCTACCTTTCTTTTTCATTTTCTTTCCTGGGTTTCCTCTTCTCATCCTGCCAACATTGGGGTGCCCACATAGGTCTTCCTGCCCAGGAGTTGCTTGGCCATCCCTATAAGTCCTTCCCATTGTCCTTACACACTTGCTCTGTTCACTCTCTCCAGTACAGTTCTCATCTGTCCTGTTTCCTATTTTTGTCTCTGGGTCCTGTCACTTCATGTTGGATTTCCTCAGAAACCCAAAACTTCCTCAGCTTTAAGGGAATAGATACATCTCACTTTTTAGACTTGATTTTGTTGAGAATAATTTTAAAGTTAAAAAACTCATTACCATGCTCTGCTGAACAAAATTCTCCAGTCTGGACCTCTTTGCTGGGTGACTAAAGAATAGAGGAATACTGGAAAATTCAGTTTCCTAGGGTATACTATTTCAGTAAGCAGAAGTGAGAATACAGAAATGTGTCCCCATGATCAGTTTATAGCATCTAGAAACTGATAAAACTTGGTTTTTTGTTTTAAATCCTTTCACAGAGACTATTTTATATGATCAACAAAGGCACGAAGTTAACAATGATCATCTTTTCCATTAAAGCAAAACAAGACAAAATAAATAAAACAAATTAAAGCATGCTGGTTAGTTTTTGTCAACTTGACACAAACTACTCAGGGGAAGAGGGAACTTCAGTCCAGGAATTGCCTCTGTCAGATTGGCCAGTAGGCATGTCTGAGGGTCATTTCTCTTAATTAATGACTGATGGGGGAGAGCCCAACCTACTGTGGGCAGTGCTGTTCCTGGGCACGGTGGTCCTGGGACATAAAAGAAAGAAAGCTGGAGGGACTT